AGGTCTACTCGCCTTCAAATGTGCTGAACCACTCCGTGTGAGTAAAGTCGACCCGGTGAGGCGCCATGTGCTCCCGGATAGAATCCTTGGCGCGCTCCTCAGTGATCTCGCCGCCGTCAAGAAGAACGTAGAACCGGGCGAGCTCGCGCTCTCGGGGGATCCAAGCCACACGGCTCTGCTCGTTGAGCTGGAAGGTGACAATCTCGGAGCACACCGGGAAGCTGGTATCGATGAAAGTGTCCAAGACGGCCCAGGTCATCTCTGGCTTGGTGCCGGTGAAGTCGATCTTCATGGCGGACCTGACGCTTGACCTGGCACCGTCCGCACCGACGACATAGCGACTATGAATGGTGCGGCCGCGATCCGTCTTGACGGTAACGCCCTCGTCGTCCTCGCTGATGCTCGCCATGCTCTCATCGTAGGACACGCGGCCCTTGAGCCTGGAATACAGCGCCTGCTCCACGAGAGGCTGTCCGAGCATCAGGAAGTTCTTGCGGTAGCAAAATTTCAGGCTATTCCACCACTGGCTCTGTCGAGACTTGAACTCTCCATCGCCAAAGGTTGAGCTCGCTGGGGTTGTGTCAGGTGGGATGAGTCCTTGGGGCTTGTGACTGAGCGCTTACTGTTGCAGGTGATTCCCTCGGGGAGAAGCTCGTCGAGAATCCCGACAACTTCGAGGTACTGCTGAGTGCGAGCATTGAGGGCATCGGCTCTTCCAATTTCCAGAGGCCCCTTCTTGCTATCTGTATGGCAGCATCAGAGCATGTCTTCAAGTCGGAGATCAGCAAATGACTTACCAATGACACAGACCTTGACACCCAGCTGCTCGGCCAGATATGCTGTGAGAAGACCAGTTGGTCCACCACCAACAACAGCCAAGTCAACGTCGACAATTTCTTCCTGAGAGACTGAACCCATGATGAATGCTTGCGTTTGAGGTTACAACGAAGGTGCTGTGAGCGATGAATCTTTCTGCGTCTTGTGCAAAAGCCATCAACTTCAAGTCATATGGCTTCACTTGTATTTGTCTACATGTCTAGACCAGCACGTTGCGCAAAGGACTAACACGCATCGGCCTACTGCCCTGTTTTGCAGACCACCCTCGGCGACGTCCGACGTAATCGAACGTTACAACCTGACTCAAGACTAACAGGAACCGCGGCACCCTCGTCGGGAATCTGATAAAAAGGAGAAATGCCGAGGCGGGTCGATACTACTCCAGGATCTACCCTTGTCCGCATCGGTCCCTCCCTCGCCGATCCACCCCCTTCACCTGCCCGACCCGTCCACTCCCCCCCTGTTCTCCCGCGCGGCTACCACAAAACCATGCCCCCATCTTGGCCCAGTAGGGCACGGGAAAGGCAGGAGGCAGGCTTCTCAAGGATCGTCGCCATATCCAGGGGCAAATGGGGCAACCCCTATCGGCCAAGGCGAGGCCTGAATACTCCATCTACTTCGGGGATCTTTCTCTGAACGGAAAGGTTACGATCCACGAACGTATCAACAGAAGCATGATTCAGCTTTGACAAGTCAGAGGAACATGCGATCTTCCTCAGGCAATGGCGCAATGCAACGTGGGCAGAGCCTGTGACGACGTAATGCAGCGCATGTGCTGTGCATCATGTCGGGGCACCCGATCAGGAGGCAAGGTGAACAGCAGGGATGCCACACTCGAGTTCTCAAGGTTGGATGCACGTACTTAAACAGTTCTTGGATCAAGTCACCTCGGCAACCTTCCGCCCTCTCTGCACTGCAATCTTTATCATCTTCTTCTATCACCATGCCTTCGAGAATCGGCACCCCTCCTCTGGAGCTCAGCGCAGAGTCCAAGACCATGCCTTCACTGCCTCTGGGCTTTGACGAGCAAGCTCTGGGACTTGCGTCGGATATTCTGGACGTCATCTGCCAGTATGCGCTCAAGAGACCGCAGGAGCTCGCCATTCCCGAGCTCGACAACAAGCTGGGCTTCCTCTCCATGGTTTACAAGAGCGTCAGGGCAGAGGAGCCTGTGCTCATGTGTCTGCCGGCTTTCCCCTTCAAGTCACCCAACAACAGAGACAAGGTGCTTGGTACGCTGCCGGACAAGGCTGAAGAGTTTGCTCTTGCGCATATGAACGGTCTTTGCGCCTCGATTGGTGACATCTACAAGCCTGGCGCGCGGCTGACCATCGTTTCTGATGGACTGGTATACAACGGTAAGATGATGTGGTTTACCATTTTTGCAGCCGAGCCTCAATTGATAGTCTCTAGATCTCCTCGGCGTCCCTGACAAGAACGTCTGGGCGTACGGAGAGGCACTTCGACAGATGGCCGTCGAAAAGGGGTTCGACAATCTCGACTTCTCGCGGCTGCAGGACCTTGTCCACCTTCCCGGCCTGCCCACGCCCTTGACTGAGATGACTTATGTCGCCAATGCGACAAACTTCCGCCGGGCCTTGCTCAACAGCTTCGGACGTAGCGACTATGACCCTTCGACCGAGATCTCCCAGAACAAAGACACCTGTATGACGTATAGGGGCTACATCAAGTTCCTTGAAACGGATCTGGCACTTGTCTACCCTGTGGGCGAAGACCATGGTCGCAGCAAGACGGCTTACAAAAAGGGCATTGAGTACATTGCGCGCCAGATGCTCCATCGCGGTGATGTAAGTGAACCTAAATACCATTTAGGAGACGGTACTGACACGGTTTAAGGCTTTCGCACGCGCCGTGAGGGAGAACTTCAGCAGCCACCTCCGACTTTCCATCCACCAGTCCGCGAACAAGACGAAGCTGTCCATCAGCCCCTTGCCGACCCATACCGGATTCACCACCCCCTGGCACTGTGTCATTGCCTTTGCCCTCAGCGGTGCCATCACGACAGGCCCCCGCTCCGAATTTGAGAACAACCCGGCATACGAGCTTGTCCTCGAGAACGGAAGACCGAGCTACTACCGCGAGAAGAGTGAGCTGTACAACTGGACTTCATCCGAGACGACATGTGAGCCGATGTACCCCTGTGGCCTGGTGATCCGTCCCGCTGCGGGACCCAATACGCTCTCCATCCACGACATCGACTCGGCAAAGGTCCGCTCGCTGTCGGAGCACAACTCTCCCGTCGTGCTGCGCGGCTTCTCAAAGACCCGTGATCGGGACCTGTTTGTCGCAAAGGCACACGAGTTTGGCACTCCGCTGCCTTGGAAGTTCGGATTGGTCCTGGAGGTGAAGGATCAAGGGGCAATGAGTGCTGGATTGAACAACGTCTTGTCGGCTGAGTGGATGCCTTTCCACTTTGACGGACTTTTCAAGACCAAGACGACCGTTCTGGAGGATGGCACGGAGAGGCTTGAGCCGAACCCACCACAGTAAGTTGAGACTGAATGTATCGCTTGAGGAAGACGATGGGCAACTGACACTGGAGAAGGTTCCAGCTCTTTACCGCGGTGACGCCGTCACCCAAGACGACGGGCTTCACGCTCTTCACGCCATCGCGCAATGTCCTCCAGAATCTTCCCTCCTGGCTTCCCCTCTCGCGGCTCTCCGAGCTGACCTGGCGCGTGTCGACATCGGCCTTTAACGCCACGGCCATGACGGGTCTGCCGCTTGTCGTGCCACATCCGACGACTGGCGAGCCGTGCTTCCGGTACCACGAGCCGTGGCCGCAGAGCAAGACAGTCTTTGACGCTACGGAAATTACCATCGAAGGCGTGTCGAAGGAGGAGAGTGAGCGTATCTGCGCCGTTCTTGACTCGCTGCTCCACAACAGGCGGAATACCCTGTGGCTCTCGTGGGAGATCGGTGATGTCCTCGTTAGTGATAACGTGTTGGCGATGCATACGAGGAGCGATTTCACGTCGGGGTCGCCGAGGGAGCTGTGGAGGATTCATTTTGACTAGGAGGTCACGATAGGAAGCAGGACTATGGTGCACGATTTTGAAGCCTTTTCTTTTTGGGATAATGCCCCCTTTTCTTTGAGCAAATCAAAACACATTCCCTTCTGCTGAAGCTGTTCTACTTCAAGTTCGCGTGTATACCGCCCGGTGTATGTTTCGAATTCGGAAGGCCACCAGAGCAACATTGTCAAGCCATTGGTCGATGATGAATGGAGTCCAGTAGATGACGAAGAGTGTCGCCAGGGTGATTCGGACCCAGCGCGGAGGACACAGCTCGTCAACCAAAAACTCGAGGAGGGTTCGGTGCCGACAAGGACATGTGGGATGGTTCGAGTCATGAGGCAGGGACGTCTCGTGGGATACTTCGAGGATCTCTGCCGGCATGCCCTGAAGGCCTGTCGCATCGCCAGCCCCGCCGTGATCATGGACAAGCCCAACCTGGGCGTCGTACTCCTCGCGTTCGACTGTGGGGTGCTCAGACATTGCGAGGGCGATGGCTGCAAAGAGGAGAGGGGCCGATGCAAGATAGATGAGGAAGAGGGGCGGCCGCATGGGGGGCGAGGGATGGTGATGTCTGCCGGGGATTTGCCTGTTACGGTAGGCGGATACCGGAAGGAAACGTGCGTTGTTGTAAGTTGGAAGGTGAGATGGATGAAAACACCCCTGGCAGCGGGGGAACCAGGCTCGGGCTGAAAACAGAAACGGCGCTCATCGTTGTGTCGGTTGGTTGGTTGTTCAGCTTGTTCTGTTGGATGGCTGTCTACTTTGCATGCTCAACGTTACATCGAGTCGGAGTCGGCGATTAGCCTCGGCAACTCTAGGGGATGGGCGAAGCTACCACGATTTACAGTCCATGGTTCAAATCAATGTGCAGTGTGACCCAAGAGGCTTTTACTGATCGAGGAATAGTCACTTCAACTTAGCACTTCACTTACACCTTAGGGGTAGGGACTTTTGAAGGGACTTTTGTCCGAACAGCCCTGTCGCGACTAACCTGCCACTAGAAGCGAGCTAGACGTTCGCTGTCCGCATTGGCGCCAGCGATCACAAAAAGACCCCGTCCATCATCCCCTGGCAATCCACCTCTGCACAGCACCCAGGGGAATTAAATGCCCTCAAAAAGCAAAACGACGCCGACCGGATTTGAACCGATGCCCACGAATGGATTAGATGTCAAGAACGTGTATTCAAGTCTAACGCGTTAACCACTCCGCCACAGCGCCATTGGGAAGCTTTTCGCAATCTCCGTGATGCCATGTTGGCTTGCTTCTGCTTCCCACAATGTCCGTCTCCAAGTCGAGCATAGCACAGTGATGACCGTAGCTCCAGGCGCACTGTGTCAGCCTATCAGCCCCGCTCTCCCCAGAGCTTGAACTGACCTTGGCCCGTGCGCTTGGCCGACAGCATTCGTACCACGATGACGAAACTCGCCCTGTACGTCGGCTGCCAACCACACGTCGATCGTCCGCTCCCAGCGCAGAGCAAAGTCCTAGAGCCGACCTCCGCCCACAGCTCAAGCTCACCAACAGGCACCCATCGAACGGTCTCAACCGAGGGTCCTTCTTTCGTTTCGAGTCCCCGACAAAGATCACACTCGGCTTCCCACCGCACCGATATCCTTGGGCATCAATCGGGCCATTGTCCAGCACACGACCGACTCGGGCGCAGCCATCGATTAGAACAACCCTCACGCGCCTACAACCCGCGCAACGAAACGTACTCTCGACAATACTTGCGACCTTCGAAATCAACAGCCATGCCTCCTCCTCCTCCGCCCCCTCCTCCCATGCCACCAGGAGGAGGCCCTCCACCTCCTCCCCCTCCGCCGCCTCCGGGGGGAGCACCAGGCGGAATGCCGCGTCCACCGCCTGGAAGAGTACGCTTCCCTCCGACGCCACACCCCTCCCTTGACGTTCGTTCTAACCTCCTCCCAGGGCGCCCTACTCTCTGATATCCACAAGGGCCGAGCCCTCAAGAAGGCCGTTACGAACGACCGTTCTGCTCCGATAGTCGCCGGATCTGGCGGCGGCTCCGGCGGCGGCCCTCCTGTCGGCGGTGCACCTCCAGTCCCAGGCATGGGCGGCATGCCGAAACCTCCCGGCGGCCTCGCGCCCCCCGTCCCCGGTAACAGGGCCAGGAGCAACAGCGACCAAAGCGGGAGGGAATCATCCGCACCGAGCGGCGGCGGCATGGACTCTGGCGCACCCCAGCTCGGCGGTCTCTTCGCCGGTGGCATGCCCAAGCTGAAGAAGAGGGGCGGCGGTGTCGACACGGGTGCAGAATCAGGAGCCTCATACCTGTCCGAGCCCGAGTCGGGAGGCCGGTCCTTCTCTGCTCCCAGACCTCCTATGGGTTTCGCTCCCAAACCCCCCGGTGGTGCCGCTCCATCTATCCCCGGCCGGCCGGGTCTCCCTCCCACGCCGGCAGCGAAGAAACCGCCACCTCCTATAGGCAAAAAGCCGCCTCCTCTGCCCATGTCTCGCAAGCCCTCAGCTCCGGCCGGCGGTCCTCCTCCTCTTCCTGGAGCTCCCGCGCCGCCGCCTCCTCCCATGTCGGCACCCGCACCTCCAGCACCACCACCTCCTCCGCCCTCTTCAGCGCCGGCTCCTCCATCGGCACCCCCTCCGCCGCCAGCAACATCAGCTCCTCGGCCTCTTCCGCCCCCAGGGCCCTCGCCGCTACCTCCATCCCGCTCGCCACTCCCTCCTCCTCCCCCGCCAGCCGCAGCACCCAACTTTGCAGCACAAGCAGCCATCCGCGCAACACAAGCAGCCTCTCCGAGCGGCGCACCTCCTCCTCCGCCTCCGCCTCCAGCTTCGGCACCCTCGCCACCCCCGGCATCATCTGCTCCGCCTCCACCTCCCGCAGCTTCAATCACCCGCAGCCGCGCCGGCTCCTCCTTGCGAGCTTCCATGCTTGACCCGAGCGCATGGTCCCTCAGCTCCCCCAATGGTGCCATGAGCCCGAGCCCAACGCGGGGTAGCCGTGCCGGTTCCATCACCTCTCCACCTCCGACAGGCGGTGGTGGCCCCCGTTACGTCGTCCAGGACACCAGATGGCGCTTCCAGGAAGACAACATGCTGCCCAAGCCGCGCGAGTTCCACGGAGGGCCAAGGCGGTACCGAGCCGGAAGGGGCAGCAGTGTGCCCTTGGATCTGAGTGCTCTATAAGTACGTGGGGCGCGGATAGACAGGGGCCCCAGACATGAAGCCAGACCACTCATGGATGGTCGGTATCAATATTTCAAGTACTTGGTTTATACAAGCCAAATCCATCTCACAGCATGTCTTGTTCTTCCTCTGGCAGTGATGTAATGTCGAGTGATGGAAAGTGGTGTTTTATTTTGCCCTCCATGAGGACAAGCCTCTGAAACCCAAGTATTATGAAAGCTGCCGTGGCAAAATTGCCTACCCGCATCCTGGCCGGCCGGCTACTCCCATGGTGTAAAAGGAGCGCGACTCGCACCACCCAGTGGCAGTTCACGCCCAATACGAACGTCAAATCCCCAAACTCCAGTTCGATAAAATGAAAATCAAACGGCACCTGTGGCCCTCCTCCCTCTGCCCATGGCCGCCATAAATCGAGGTAAACGCCAAGGTATCATCGTCTATATCGATGTCGTGGTCTGCCGTTGAGTTCGTCCTGCTGTGAAATCAAAAAGTCAAATGTCCCCCCATCATCCATCGTGGCGTCGTTTCGTGTACTGGCGTGTTTTCCACAGAGAGGTGGTGTGATGTAGATGTCGTGAAATCAGGCCGAAGCCACGACGCTTGCTCCCCAACGCAGCCTTCTCAGCCCGCCAGAAGTGCGCATCACCTCCCTCCCACAGGAAGAGTCTGTGGCCAGAGAGGAGGCGTTGACACCCGCGCTGCTGCCCGCCGCAAAGGCCTCCTGCCGTCCGACCTCCCTGCCGATAACGTAGCCGGCTCCAAAGCCGACAACAGAGACCAGAACGACAACGCCAGCACCCATAACCCACGACAGAAGGGTAGGGCTGATGAAGGTGGTTGAGTCGTCCAACATGACCTTCTTCTTCTTGGCAGCACGCGAGGGACGGGTCTGCGGCGCCGCTGGACGCTTGTTCTTCTCGCTCTCTGTGGTCTCAGGAGTGACAGCAGCCGCCCTCGCTCTCGTTGGCGACTTTGGTCTCGAGGCAGGCGCGACAGGTGGTGGAGTAGTGGCCATAAACTGATCTTCGGGCATGAGACGAAGCTCAACAGGCTGCGTGCTCGGGCCTACGCCAGCGGGAGCCGGAGGGGCTCCCTGCTGCTCCGCATCCTTATACTTGGGCAGCCCGCGGGCGGCAGCGGCACAGGACAGCAGCGTGGTAAGTGATGACCGAAGCGCTTCATCATTGTCAGCCCGGTAAGCCGGCGACATGAAGTTGGGCGGTCCGCGGGATACTCGGGTCTGGGAGCGCTGGGAAAGAGAGGGCCGCACACGGCTGTGGGGGTGGGAAGGTGTGGCGGCCGAGGTCGAATAACTGCGCTGAGCCAGGCCGTGGGGGTGCGAGAAAGCATTTGGGTGAGGTCTGAAGACGGGATCGTTCGTCCGTCGACCCAGGGCGGTTGCGTTTTCGTCGTCGTCCGAGTCTTCCGAATCCACCTGCTCGGTGGCTTGGAAAGACTGATAGGTAGGGCGCTGCACATTCTCCGTGGAACTGGCCAGCATCCTATCCTCCTCGCTCTCAGTCTCATCGTATTCCTCCTGGCTGCTAGTACCTCCCTGGTGGATGGCAGTCTGGTCGACGTGGTAGGATCGCGGTATGGGGGTTGGGTTTAGACGGCGCCTGCGAGCCGCGACGGAGTTGCCAACGCGTAGACCCGTGGTGACGATTTCATCGCCGATGGAAGAGAGGGACGACGAAGAAGGCTGCGATGAGATCTCGACCCACGAGTCTGGTGTTGTTAGCAGATGTACTTGGTCTCCGAGGGGCGGTTGCATGGGCTCACCGTCATTCCGCCGCTGCGGCCCAACAGATGATGCAGCCAGGTGCGGGCTGCCGGGCCAGTTCTGGCTGGCGCCATGGTCGCGCTGCTGCCTCTCCATGGTTTCGAGCCTGGATATTTGGCTTCAGGGCGAGAGTTTGGTAATATCTGGTTCGGAGTACTTCGTAGGTTGGCGGTGACAGTCCGACAAGCAAGGTGAACCCCGCGCTTACAACTCCCACTGTGTAGATAAGACGCGATGGAGGGGGTTCTGCCGAGTGCGGTAGGATGGAGAGGAGGAACAACGAGATGTCGAGGAGAAGAAGAGCGTCGATTTCGGTCGAGGTGTCAAAGATGCAGACGCGAAATGGAGTAGAATAAAGGAGGGTCAAATCAAGGTCGTAGTGGTGAGAATGTTGGGAGAGTGACCTTTGTCTGTCCCCCCCTCCTTCGAATGGGCTGCGTCCAAGGTCGAATGTGGAAGGCAGGGACCGGCCATGGCGGGCGGGTTGGTAGGCTCCGGGGGCGGTAGTACAGTGCAGGCATGCGGGGTTTCAGCAGCACTGGTGGGCGGCTGGGGCGATAAGCTCTTGTCCGCACAGTGCGGGGAAATCGCCGATGACGCTATCACGCCCGTCTAGTCTAGTCGCTGGCGACACCCGCCCGTTCGCCCTCTTCTCGGTGCAGGTGCCCACCGCCCGCGCGCCTTCCCGTCGCATCGTCAGGTGGGCACCCCAGCTGCCTCGTACCCCACAGGGACGCGTGCGTTGCGCACGTTCCGGCCCAACCAGCGTACACCGCCCGCGTGTGCCACAATTAGCGCTCTCACCGCCCTCCCTTCCGACACCGGGCTGGCTGTCAGCGGCGGGAGTCAACCCTCCACGGGCGAAGTGGCCGCTGCACTTCAGCCCAGCCTGTCGCGGCGAATCACGAATCACGGGGGCTGAGGCGCATGCCCATGCCAGCGTGACGCTCTGCCCTGAGACAGTGTGTACACAATCTCAGAGTCATGCTTAGGCAGTCACACATCACAAAAACATCGCGAGGCAGAGTACAACAGTTGAGAGAAAAGACGAACTTTTATATTAGGAATTACGCCGCAACTCCAGATCCAGATCGAACAGCCTTCTCTTACACGAGGGTAAAGGAAACTGAGAGAATGGGTAGGGTAGGTAGGGGTGGATGGCATACTTACACGACTGTCTGTCGTAACGGTACTCGTCCGAGTTGTTCGGGTCAGGTTGCTGAAGAGGTCTCGCGCGGCAGGATTGCCAGGTGTCAACGACAGCTCCGGA